ATATTTATATATATATATGGACTAGATAGCTATTATTGAGATATCTAAGGTATATCTGCGTATCGGGTCACTGTATGGAATGCAGTTAGAATAGAATTTGCATGTGAGCCTGACTCACTCTTATTTTTACAGGTGTTCATTGGTTCCAAGCTTAGAGCTTGATCGTGCTGAGCAGATACAGTCATTCACTCCACCGACGACGTAGGATTTTATTTTTATGTTTTAGACTTGGGTTTTACTTCCAATCATTTGAGTTCAGTGGGATATTTTTAAGAGTCCACTAAATGGATTCCTGAGTTATATTTTTGGAGAACGACTTGTATCGGAAGATTTTGAATTATTAATGAAAGTTATAAGTTAATCGTTTTAGTTCTTTCTGCGTTTTTATTTATTTTTGTTTATCATATTTATATTTTGTGTTTGATTATTACTAATTGATTTGATATCCTCGGGTAATCGGGCGTGGGCCTGGCCAACCCGCATCCAGAGATCTGGGGGTATCATATGCCTTCAGGACATTCTTTAATATATTTTATTTTTCAGAGTTTTTTCTGGTTTTCCCTTTTAAGGGAGTGTATTTTTTCATTGTTTTTTGGTGAGGGTATGCCCTCATTTTCACATGTACCATATTATTTATTTTTTTTATAAAATCCTTCATTCAAAAAAAAAAAAAAAAAAAACTCGTTTTTCTTCATCTTGTCGTTTCTCCTTCGTTCAGACTCCGAATCATGCGATTCTTGAGTCAATCTTGATTAGTTTTTTGTTGTCTTCCAGCGGTGTGCTCGGTGGCACCCGAATCCATATTTTCAGAAATAACTATTTTGCCCTTGGGGCTATTTTTGTCCGATTTTTCTTGCTTTCAACTTCAGCTACTTTCTTTTGAGTTCCGTGACTTTATGGGAAGTCACAGATGTGTCTCGGGAATGGTATACATTCTAGGGATGTCATTTCCATGTAAAATGACTATTTTGCCCCTGGGGGCTTAATTGTTATTTTTCCAATCTTTTGCTTCCGCGTCAATTCTCATTGAGTTCCATGACCTCATGGAAGGTTATCAAAGTGTCTTAGAGGTGTGTTGTGCCTTAGGAGACCATTGTTTTGTTTCTTGCTTCCGCATCTGGATCCATTATCGGCTCAATCTTCGGTTCATCACAGGATACACTGGCTTGAAAAACCAAGGTCATCTCAATCTACAACTTATAAAGAGTGGTCTTGGTGGTTGAATGCATGTTTGTAAGCCTTTATTCACATTCTGGATCTGCCAGGTGGAAAGGACAGTTCTGGCATCAATTGGAAACTTCAACCTGGAAGGTCTGGATCTTGCCACGTGTCCCATGTTTTCCTTAACTTCCTTTGGTAAATGCTCCATGTTCTCAGCCCACTTGCTAATTTGTAGCAACTTCCTAGTAGTTAGAGATGGCAATTCCATCAGTAGTTAGAAACTTCCACCTGGCACAATTGTGAAGTACCAGGTGTCCTATGATTTAGCACTTCTTCATCACGTGTATAAATCATTTCTCCTTTGAATTTTTGAGTGTGTGTGTGTATATATATACCACGTTATATACACATTCTCCATTAATTTTAATAACCACCCAAGCTTCAATTTAGGCAGTTTGCCATAGTTTAGCAAATTCCTAAAATTGTTCAATGAACCTGGACATTAATCTGCCATGTAGTAGCAGTTGCACGATTTCTAAAACAACTCCTGTGAAATAGAAGACATTTTAGGAATGGGTAGTTACTACCCTTAATGACCAAGTCAACAAGCTTTTGAATTTGAAGTGTGAATAATCTAGTACGTACCATGTGTCAATTATATGCCCATATGGATTCTTACGATGGACTCTTGTCCTACTAAATTTCTTCAATCTTTAGTGTCACATGTCATCATCTAAACGGCTTTCATCTTCAAAACTCTAATTTTATGTAAAACCATATATAGAGTAGTAGAACTTCCTTTTCTAGTTATCAATGAGCCAATATGGTATAGTTAGTTCCATAGAACTCGCCATATGTCATCTTTTCAGTGGTTACATACCCCTTTTAATTTCTGATCTGATTTATAGATTCGACGTGACAGCAACTGAGTTGTCCCTAGTTTTATGACTTGATTTACCAGGTGAGGTCGCATGTATGGTAATATCCCAGCGCAACATTTCCTTCCAAGTTGCTAGAATAGTAATCTGGTGTGACAAGTTCCTCTGGAGCTCATCACATGTCAACTTTCCATTTGTCCAAATTGGTGGTATTAACAAGATTTATACAAAGAGGACCTGGTGGCTACCATACCAAAGCAATTGTGTCTCACCATCAGAACCTCACGTGCTCGCCATCAGAACCTAAAGAGAGTGGCAATAAATTCCTTAGATAGGCCAAGTTATCCTACATTTTTGTTTCCAGAATAAATCTTTAGCCAATAGGTGTGATTCAGGAGTCACTAAATAAACGATTGTTAAGTTCAATGACTAAGTCCATGTAGATAACTTCTCTCTAATCTGAAAAAGAGAAGTACCATGAGATAGAGAGTGTGTTACAATTGACAATGAGGTGAGGATTGATGGTAATCGGCAACAAGATGAGGATTAGGGGTGGAAAACGAGCGAGTTGGGTCGGGTTTGGGCAAGGTCAAATATGGGCAAGTCGAATATGGGATGTTACTCATATTCAACCCGCTTATAACGAGTTAAATATAGGTTTGGTGAAAATGGGCTGGGTTAACCCGTCATGACTCGCCAACCCGTTCTAAGGGGGAAAAAAGTTATTATTATTTTGGATAATCTCGTTATTGTTAGATAAATATTAATTAACATAAAAAAAAAAAAATTAAAAATACCAAAACAAAGACTTTGAGAGAGAGGACAAAATGTAGAGAAAGAAAGCTTTCTTTATTTCCTTTTACTTTTTCTATACACCTCGGATATACACCAATACCCATATATATATATATATAGCCATAAGCCAAGCCTACAAAGCAAACTAAGGAAATAACTTGCTTATATGTATTTAGTGTGTTCACACCGACAACATTATATATACAATGAAGCTATACACATAATTCAAACTTGCCTACCAAATTCTCTCAATAGTGGGCCATGATACTAATTCCATTTCTTTCAAATTTTCATAAATAGTGGACCCCACACCATATATATATAAATAAAACAATTATTATAGTTTTTATTTTAGATGGATAAAAGTTTGTAAAAATATGTATGGATAATTGTAAATCCTCTAATTTATTTTGAAAATTCTTTAAATTTATATTATTTTATTTTGTGACTAGACATGCATGAAGGTAAGATATTATATATATATGAAATCATCTGTTAAGCTTTTTATAGAATAAATAATTAAATGAATAAATCAGGTCGTTCTACTTTGAAATACAGATGTAAACGTCCATGATGCAGAAAGAATCTTAGAGAGAGATAGTGGGAGAGAGAGATAATTTGGAATCATGTGTGAGAATTTTAGGAAGGAAAATGTGAATTTGAATCAAATAAAGCTGTGAAACTGAGTCTCTTATATAATGAGTGAAATATGGGTCAAAATGAGTGACCTATATTCAACCCATTTAACCCTCTATAAAAATGGGTTGAATATAAGTTACCCATTTTTACCCATATTTTAAAATGGTTCACTAATATCCATTTTAAAACGAGCAAATATGGGCAGATTGGTAAATCATGACCCATTTTGCCACCCCTAGTTAAGATCACTGATCCATGAGAAATGAGAGAGAGGAGGAGCAACAGTGTGAAAACTAATCTAGGGTTAGAAATTAGGAAATTACTTATATATTTATAAAATATACACAATAAGTAACAATTCCGTTTAGTCTTATAAGACATCAAATCAAAACCAACCCATAATTTTACAATTCCACTATTTTGGAATCATAATCAAACCGAATTGTTAGAAAACTTAACCGATTGCTCGATCCGATCCAATTTAGTTTGGATTTTCGATTTCACCAATTTTTGTACACCCCTACTAAACATGTTTTTGTACAAGTCTGATTTAGAAGCCTTCCTAAACTTGGAAACGTATTTTGTACGAGTTTGAGGGTCACACAGGTTGATTACTACATATGTTCGGACACTTTGTGAAGGGGTCAAACAAACTCGAAACGAAACATATAATATTTTGTTAGAAATCTTTTGAATATATAATCTATATAATGAAATTCAAAGTATTTTATTTTTAGTGAAATTTTGAATATATAATCTATATAATGAAATTCAAAGTATTTTATTTCTAGTGAAATTTTGATAACACATATTTCAAATTTCAAAAGATAAAGGTACTGTTTGGAGGAGCTTTTTGATTCCAAAATTCCTTCCATTTAGAGGACTTTGAATAATGCATTTCAAACATACCGATTTTAGAAGAAAAACAAGTTGTTTTGGGATGCATTTTTTGAAATTCCTTTGACAATTAATACAGTGTTAACTTGGCAAGTAGTTGAATTAATTGAAAGACTGCAAGAATTAAGAAAAATAAATAAATAATAAATGAAAAGATAATAAATGTGACTTAAGTGAAGATAGATGAGCATGCTAAAGATGAAAAGATCAAACGTAGAGATAATAAATGTGATTTTCACCAAGCTCCCCCAAACAAAAACAGGCACAAAATCTTAACCAAAAGACTAGCCAGTCAACCTTTAAATCATTTTCCTTAATTTTATGCATTAAAAACATCTTTTTCATGAATCAAAATATGCTTACATTGTGGCCCAATCAGATGGATCAAGATAAGATTGCAATATTGTAAATCCTAAATTGGTGAGTTAGTCATTCAAGAGATAATTTGACGTTGGAATTCAGAAATCCATTTTATCAAAGTATCATAATGAAGTTAATTTCATAAGTCCCACAGATATCTTCAGAAGGAAAAGAGAGAAGTAAATTGAAGCAATTATTTTCCTATGACTTTGTACTGATTGCAATAATTTTCCTATGTTATTTTTACCTCATTCAACGGCCACAAACCCATTGCAAAAGGCCTTTTAAGGAATAGTACTAAAAGCATATAAGAATTCTTTTTTTGTTCCCACAATCTAAGAGCTTCATTCAAACCAAGTGAAAGGTTAGCTTGCTCCACAAATTCTGTCAACTATACATAAAATTGCCGGGGCAAAACAAAATGAAAGGGCATGGGAAATATACTTGTCACCAGAATCCATCAAAATGCAGTAACAAGAGCAAGGGATTAACATAGAAGCCGCCAATCATACTGAAGCCTAATCGCTATCTTCCACCTGCATAAACAGAAACATAATTTTCAACAAAATAAAACCATGCCAGAAAGGGGGGAAAAAAAAAATTCATAATATAACAAAAGACACTGGCAAACCTCTCCACTGCCCTCCGATCCTTTATCCTCCTCATCAGTGGCTTCAGACCTAGACTTGTCAGACCCCTCATTTTCATCCTCAGATAAATTTGTACCTCGAGCCTAATTTTATTTAAAAGGGTATAAATCAAACACCTTCATAATCACCACAACTCATAATGAAACAAAAACAATAACGCTCAACATTGCAAAACAAATAATAAATCACCAATTTCTTGTTATAGGCGTCCATGTTCTTTTCGTAATCCTTCTTCCGCTTGTCTGCCTTGGATACATGGGGTGCTTTCTCCTAAATTTTGTTAATATAATCTTATAAGCAAATGAAAAGGGCATAGACAATAATCATAATCATAACAGAATTACTCTATTTTTCATTACTTACAGCATCAGACATTGACTTCCATTTGGCACCACCAGCTTTGCCTACCTATTTTCCAAAAATTTAAAAATAAATAAATACAACAAAATCTAAGCTAAGAGAAAATAAAACTGATTACATACGAGATGAGACTCACAACAAACTATACAAATAATATATATATATATATATATATATATATATATATATATATATACATATATATATCTGAAATTACTTACAACTGAGACTGATTTGTTGTTGGGATTCTTTTCTTTGAACTGCTCTCGGAACTCTTCCCTTCAATGCCAGAAGATGAAGATATGAATAATTAACAAAATATAAAGATAAATCTAAACCAATAGAAAAAAATTTCCCCCAATAAAATTAAATGATTTCTGCTACAGTCTAAAATGTTGTAGGTGAATAGTGTTTGATTCAAGTCATACCCCATTAAAAGTGAATTGATCCTTTCTTTCAACTGCGTATGCTTTTCACTGGGCTTTTGAAGGAGGAAGTGGTGTTTGTGCACAATTAGTTTACAACTAAGGGGCACTACCGGGCAGGCCTAATCTTCATTCATACTGGTTTTTTCACAAGATTGAATAGAACTTTATGAAAGTTGGTCCAATCTGGATTGAAAATCATCACGCTGGACAGAAATTTCTTAAATCAAAGAGCTACAAATGAGACTTTATATTCAGGTATAGAGCTTGGTGTTCATAACCGAGTCTATAGGATCAAATAAACCCTAGCAGTGACAGAATTAAGTCAAAAGAAATCATTTGCTTTAAGCATTCTAAGACTTGAGGTCTATGGAAAATCTTAATCTAATAAGAAAAAGGTCTATAGTCTAATTATGGGGCCATTAAAATGATAGGCACCACCTACCATGAATAAGATATTTTCCTATAATCTTTCAATTGATTCTTGGGCCTGTTCATGAAGGTGTGTAACGGTATTGGACTCTTGAAAAATGATTACAAACCGACTGACGTCGAACCATGGTTCCAACTAAACATGGACTTTGACATGAACACACACTAAAAGGCATGGGTCGGTGTATTGTCCCCTCTAATCAGCTTAGAGAATAAAAGTCCAATTGGCAACAAATTCACAAGAAAAGAAAATTAAATACTGTATACTGTATTGAAGAGAAAATTCAAATGAAACATAGATTAGATTTATACATGAAAACAAAGAAAGCACTGACTGGCCTCTTGGGTTTGTTTGGGTCCACCGCAGCCTTTCCCTTGGATGATTTGGTAGGGCGTGTCTTCACAGAAAGCCTATCACAATAAACAGAAACGGGTAATAGAGGACATATACATATATATATACACACACATATACATATATATATACACACACACATTCACATACATATATTATATAGATACAGAGATACGAAGAACCTGAGACAACAAGATCGATCTCAGATCTGCACCTCTATGATTTTAAGGGTTTTTTCTTTGATAAAACAAAACTTAGAGAGAGAATCATCAAAATAGCTAGAAAAATTAGACTTACTTGCTGTCTGATTTCTTCGACTCGGTCTTAGATTTACGGCCCTTCATGGCGATTCCTGCAATGACACTGTCGAATTAGTAACTCATACTGCGTGAACTGATCGAAGTGGGCGAAAATAAGCTAAAGAATCGATTATTTCCTACCGCTTCAATTAACGTGTTAGGGTCAGGGTTAGGGTTAGGGTTAGGGTTAGGGTTAGGATTAGGTTTAGGGTTTATGCGTCGCGTGTGTGTGAGAGAGGTGCGAGGAGATTGGGCTTTCGAAAGTGGGTGATACTAAATATTTGTGAAAACACTCTCTTTCGACCATAAATTCACATCTTTTCCTTGGTTTAAAGGCAAGTTGTTGAGTTTCTTCAAATTTACCATAAGTGCCATCAACCAAAGTCAGCCAAAATTCATGCCTTTATTATTATTATTATTATTTTTTATGTATGTACATTAATTTTATTAAATGAATTTAATTACTTTGATACCCTTTATCTCAGAGACGCGGATTGAACAAGTTCACTCTTAAAAATCAGGGGATATCAAAACAATTAAAATATTTAAACAAGCATAGATTACAAAATAAAATAAAAAGTATAAATAATATGCTAAAATAAATTCTTTTAAATAATAATTTTTTTAATAATCCTCCAAAATTAGAACTCAAAAATTCTTTAAATCAATGGCCCTAAACCATAATCCAATAATCCAATCATTTATAAATAAAATAAGTTTCTTATCTAATAATGGATAAATATCTTATTTTGAAATATGAAGAAAAAGTAGATAAGTGCTCAAGTTACGAATCCTCAACTTGAGACTTGAATTTCTAATAAACTGAAAAAAATATAAACAATGATGGGTCAAAACACATGAGCAAGCTCCCTCTACTAAGCCTCTCAAAACCGATAAATAAAACATCTCTAACCAAAACCAGCCTAATAAGGATTTAACCATTACTACCAAGTGATACTTACAATATACAATATCAAACATAATAAATAAATAAATTCCCCAAGTCCCAAACCATATATATATATTGATGTGACCCGAGTGTGTGCACAAAATAATGCACAATACTTTGAGTATAGAAATTAGTGTCAAGTGGGCATAGAGAAACTAGTGTGGAGATCAATTCCCAAATAATCACCCAACAGACAACATGTAATCACAAAGAGAATCAATAGGAAGAATTAAACCATATGAATCATAGATAAATAATCCTCAATTAATTACACATAGACATGCAACTAATATAGAAAATTAATAGGAAGAATTAAACCATAGAAATAAACCAAGATTCATTTTATTCACAAGACTATAGCACTAATCACAAGATAAATTCCCCAAAAAGTCAAGAGAAAGGGTTTAGATTTACAAACTTGGGGCTCATCCAAGCCCAAAAGAGAAATGTAGCCAATCATAGAGGAGGTGGGTGTGATCTTGGAACCCTCAAGGGCAATCCCCAAACATGGCTCCATCTTTTTCCTCTTCTTCTTTGTTGAATTCTAAAGAGTGTGTGAATCTTGAGATGTATTCTTAGTGCCTCCACTCTTCTCTTTTTCTTCTAACCCTAATCTCTAACTTTTCTAGAGAGAAAAATTAACCATTACAATGTAAAAATAAAAATAAAATTCAAGCCCTTTCCAAATGGTTCAATTCCCCCCATTATACAAGCCTCTTGGAGTAGGCAACAAGTCAGAAAATAAAGCTTTAAAATATCTAATCCCGGAGCCATGTGGTAGGTGGGGTTCGGGTGTGCGGGGAATAAAATAACTCGCTGCCAGCGTATCTTCGATCAATCGAAGAAATCTTCAATCGATCCAAACCCACTAGTGGCGAAATTCTACATTTTTTACCTTTTTCCGGATTTTTCTGGAATCTTCTCGGAACTTTTGCTTGACTCCAAAAAGACTGTAATGGACCATTTTTAGCCCGTTTAAATCTTATTGACCTGAAATAGACAAAAACATAAATTAGTACTAAAATGGAAAAATAAGATAGATAAATGGACTAAAATACCCTAACTTAGGTGCTAAAATGCATCACATTTAAGCAATAATCATATATGTATATATATTTATATATAATTAACATTGAACATAACAACCTTTTTTTATAGAATCTCATTCTTATAATCCACAACTTAATTATAATGGTTAATGAACTATCATTAATAAACTACTCATATAATAGAATATAGTTTTCCTAATTATAATTAAATTATCGTTGGCAACTCTACCATGCCTTTAAGAGTATGTTTATGTCCATACAATTCAAATAGTAATTTATCTATGCATTGGCAACTCATCCATGCCTCCACTAATACAATTTTGTTCATACTGTAGAATAACAAATTCCCTATACTATTATTCTGTGTATTTTGTTCACACAATTAAATGGCAATTTGTTTATTCCATGACAACTCATCCATGTTTCCAAATAAACCACCTTCAATATTTAGTACAACGTCCATACAATAGATAGCACATGCATTGTGTATGCATGCATAAAACTTTAGTTCTATATTTTGCATGTCAACGCATCAATTCATCATTACCATATATAGCCATGATATATTATGTAAATACAATCATAGATCTGATTTATAAGTCATAAATTGTAATACCCCTAAAATTAAAAAGGATATAATTGAGATTTTACTATTTATTTTAAGTGTTTTATGTGTTTAGGATTAATTGATTAAATTATTTGTTCGTTCTTTATTTGATTTAATTGTTTAGTCTTTAATTAATTTAATTGTCATTTAGGTTGTTTTTGAATTGTTTTGTTGGTTAATTATTTTATGTAATTTAATTGTGGTTTTAATTAATTGGTTAATTATTATTATTTATTTTATTTAATTAAATAGGTTAAATTATTAGGGTTTTGTCTCTTTACTGTCACGTTTGAATAAAGCCACCTTGTTTAATTAAGCCGCCTTAGAGATGTAAGGAATTGTTGATTTTCGTCTCTACAATTAAAGTAGAATTAGGGTTAATATCTTTTCCTAAGCCTATAAATAGAATAATAAGGGTCTGCTTAGAGTTGTAAGCACAAACCTTATTCACGAATAGTGAAAATACAGAGAGTGAAACAGAGAGTTTAAGGGAAAAACTGAAGGAAAAGAAGGTAGGGTTTGAGCCAAAGATTGTAAGCCGGACTAAGGAGGAAGCTTGAGGGCTGTTTGAGGGTTAGAATTGGAGCAGAGGAATCCTTGACGGCGATCACGATCGCCGGAAAGTCTAGGAAGAAGACGACGTTGAAAGGTTTCAAACCGAAACTGAAAGGCAAGTTCTTTTCTTCCTCCTTCCCTTTGGCTTGTGTTCTGTGCACCTAGATAGTCTCTAGGGTTTAATTAATCAGGAACTGGAATTTACATGGTTAATATATGCTATATTGATGGCTGTTCGTTGTTGAAATTAAATCTGTTACAATTCGTGCAAGTCTGTTTAGTTTTGTTTTCTTAAAGCATGTAAATTCTATTGGAATTTAGGTTACTGTATTTTCTTTCAACAACTGTAAACGAATGATTGGGATGCTACTGGGATTAGATAAGACTCCTAAGTTTAGTAGTGAAGAGGAATAGAGTGGATTGGAATGGAATTGATATTGCAAAATAGTTTCAGTTTTATTTCCTAAAGCATGTTTCGTTTCGGTAACAAATTTAGTTTTAATTTGATTTCAACTTCTATAAACGAATCATGGGAGTGTTACTAGGGTGTTATAAGACTCTTAAGATGAGTTTTAGAAATCAACAGAGTGGTAGGGATGGTCCAGAGACAGAGCAAACAGACTGAAACGAAGCACCGGGGACTGAAGGTTCTCAAAGGAGGTGAGAGCCGGCTCCATAGAAGTGGGAGCCGGCTCCCACAACAAGTAGAGCCGGCTCTAAGGAGTCCTACAGCCGGCTCTAGGCTGAAAAAGAGCCTCCTCCAAAATTTGGAGCAGGCTCTTTTTATTTTACGATTTGTTTTAATTTTTTTTTAATTTTCTATGTACTGTGCTTACTATTGGAGCATGGGTTTTAAATCTGTTGGGTCTGGGGTTCCACAGAGAGTTTAGAAGACTGAATTTGGGTGTTATTAGGACCTTAAATTTATTAGTGTTTAATTCTAAATTGTCGGGATAAACAGTGTAAAAATTAAGACACTCCCTATGTTGCTAACAAATGGAAGATAAATTAGTTGTTGAATTAAATTTCAACAATTTGATGGAGTATAATGTGTTTATAAAACTTGTTTTAGAATGCATTCAAGTGCATGATAAGGTCATTTAATTATTAATTTTGATCTATGCATGCTTAGGAGGCTAGTTGCTGAATTATTAAATCGTTTCCTGCAACTATATGGTTAATGCTTGGATTTAAATTACTAAAATATTAAACAATCTTCTGAAATTGTTTTAGCAATTTATTGGATAATAATAGGATTATTTAACCTATTCACATGCATGATGGAGTCCCTGACATATTAAATTTAGTCTATGCATGCTCTGGATGTTAGTTGTTGATTTATTAAATCGTCTCCTGCAACTATATGGTTAAATGCTTGGATTTAAATTGCTGAAGCTTTAAATATTTTTCTGCAATTATTTGGATGGTGGTTTTTGGGTCTGTAAATTATTGAACTGTTATATATGTTGTAATTTACATGGATATGGAGGATTGTATGTACTGGTATGGGACGGTGACATACTAGGGACGGTTTAGCTCAAAACGCATAAACCTAACCTAATGGATTAATAGAATGGATTGAAAGATATCGAATCCTAATTGTGACTAAGTCAGATCAGCTATAACCAAGTTGGATGACTTCCTGGATTAACGGATGGTAGTTAAGTCATATCAACTGAATAAGTTGAGTGACTAACTAGTTGGTTTATTGTATGTCAGTTTAATAAATAGTTGAACTGCATACCCCGGATCTGGACGGACTTTATATATATGTTTATAGTACCACGAGTTGAGCTTGAGTCTCAGACTCGTTGGTTAGGGTGCGTATATGCAGTGGATGCGTAGCTGGCTATAATAGGTTGAGGTGTACCCTGTTAGGTCAAGGTACTCATGCCCACCTTTGGGTGCATTTTTGCATATTGCCTTCTATTCAGGTTGAGACCCCCTACATAGTCCAGTGAATGTCCCTTAGTGTGGATATTTATATATGTATGGACTAGATAGCTATTGCTGAGATGTCTAGGGTGTATCTGCGTATCGGGTCACTGTCTGGATTGCAGTTAGGATAGAACTTGCATGTGGGCCTGACCCACTCTTATTTTTACAGGTGTTCGTCAGTTCCAGGCTTAGAGCTTGATTGT